TGACGTCAGATTATCAGCTTTAATATTAGCAGGCTGTGGCTGTCAGTTGCGTCGAATTATTTTCCCTGAAACTGCAATAGCTTCAACCCTGCTTCGCAGTTTTCAAATTTACCAAACAAACTGTTTCTTCAAACCTAAACACTCATACGAAAATAATAAAAAGCAAACGCTGAGACACTGCTGCTAATAGAGACAGCATAAAGTTCTCTCGAAGGCACTCGTATGGGTAAGCAACGCCGGCAACGCCTGAACAAAACATCAACACACCACACCGCACCGTGTTGATTGCCAAAGCAAACACCACTGACTGGGTCGTGTAGAGTGCCAGGTGCGTTTGAAAAATATCAATACAGTGCGAGTACGGTAAGCATATGATCGGAAGCAACGGCAGACCTCAGCTACGCAAGCAAGCATCTGGTATTGTTCGGAAGGCAGCGGATGTGAACACACATCCCAAAGTGTGTGCCAGGAAGGTTGTGACGTCCGGAAAAGTGCGCAGGAAATATATTTTGTCAATCACTGCCGCCTGGTTGGTTAGACCAAGTGTTGTGTCGAAAATTCTGTGGTTTAGTAATGAAATAAGAAAGCAAAATCTGAATAATTAAACCAAGATTGAAAGATAGTAAATTTCAATAAACCTACTAAAGCACTAGAAGTGGAGTTAGAAGAAGACATGTTATTTAGCACCTTGTACACACATAAAACAGCTTAATATATCTTCATCTTTGGCATACAGGGAATCTGACTTTCTTCCTAGTATGATATCACTCGTGCATTATTGATGAAGTCCCTGAAGCGTTTACCGACGTACGTACACATTGCTAGCACGAACCGAGACACGCACTCTTATGTTTTCCAATAATAAGGACGAGTTTTACACGTAAGACTGTATGTATAAATTCACGAACAAGGATACAACATATAAACAACCGTCGACATGAACGATGTGGAAATTCAACTAACATGTCGAGGGGATGTAGGTCACTGAAATCTTACTGAAAAAGATGTCAAAGTGGTAGTTTATTGTAACTTTCAGTAATAGGTGCCCTAAAAATGTAGAAGGCAATAGAGGTAAAATCCTCTCTCATTAATTTAAATGTTTTTTTTAAAACTTCAGAACTATGAGAAATATGGTGGCATATTTATCATCTTATCAAGTGATCATCTATGGTGCCTATACAGCCAATCTTCTACAATATTATGCATAATCACCATATGCCGGCATAACTGTAGCATCTAAAGAAGACGTAATTTCCCCTAGTTGACTTAAAATTCCCGTCAACGTAAAATTAACATTCGACGTGGCCATTTTATAACAAAATAACGACAAACCAATAAAATAAAAAAAAATACGCAGAACGAATTTCGCCAAATGTTTCAGGTTCCTCCAGGTTGACTCACTGCACCATGGTGATTATAGGATGGTGCTTCTGCTTTGAAAATATATGGACGAGGAGAGAGTGGGGGAGGGGGTGGTGCAGTCAAAGAGAAAATTGTAAACAAACTCATTGGGGACCAAACATGTCTGAATCACGAATTTGACACATTAGAAGACCTAGCTATACTTATCTTGCACTGCACTGTCTTACTGGTCCTTCTTTTAACAGTTTTTTTTATATCCACAACGCAAAGGCTTGGTGCGTTCATTACCTACCATGTGCAACGAACGATCATCAATGGTTCCTCTCATCCTCGCTCTTTCTCTCTCGCATTCAACTACTTTTCGTTCGGAATTATTTTCCCGGTTTCTTTCATATTTTATACCTTCGCAAAGCCGGTCGTCCAAGTTCAACAGGCACAACACATTGTTATGTTACGAGACGGCTGTTATTGTATTGGTATCTTACTTGCGTTCACATGCTTATGCTTCGCGAATGTTTTTAGGGACCTTAATTTATGCGAGCCGAAAAAAAACGCATCACATCTGCTCTTTCTACGCCCTCCCCACTCACCTCGTGCCTACTCACCCGGGCCCAAGTCCGTAGTGTGCTCATGAATTTTTTGATCACCCTCGATGCATAGTCAGACTCGAATGCTGTTCAATGGTTAAACTTGTTTTTTTTCCTTGTTTGTTTTCCGTCGTTCTTGTTTTCCGTACGGAGTACCAATGCAACCGAAAAAAAAAATTGAGAGAGAAAATTCTACCTCAGGAGCTCCCTCTCACAGACATCAGAATAGAAGCCATATTGAAAATTAAGGAATTCCGGCACAAACTTGGTTCATGCACCTAGTGAACAATTATGCGAAGTTTCATGGTGTCGAAGAGGGAAACACAAAAAGCCTACGTCAGTTGGCGTTGAGCTGCTACAACAGATAAAACCTGACAATTTTGCTTTCAGAGAGTCGCAATCAGTGACCGAGTTATCAGAATGATGTTTTCTTATCAAGATCAACAATTGAAAAGGTTTCAACTCCATTTTGTAAACAAACCTTATAAGGCCATTTTCTCACGAATAGAAACCTACACTAATAAAATTACACACATTTTTATTAACGAATTTCCATGTGAAATTCCACAAGATTTTCATGTGAAACTCCACATGATTTTCATGTGGCTACACATAAACAGAATCCACCCAGAAGCACACATGAAATTTATGAGTCAAATGAATAGTATATGTGAACACATATTAAGTATGTGTCCGACACATAAATATCATTTGTTGATCACATTGCAAAAATTCATGTATTAGACACATAAAAACAATCTTTGAAATTGTATCAGTGTACATTCGCAAACCTGAAACAATCGGGTAGAAGAGAATTTCTCCTACGTGTTCATGTTGTTGGTTTGCGTTGGTTGACTTCGGTTCGCGACAAAATGGCCTTACAAGGTTTGTTTACAAAATGGAGTTGAGGCCTTTTCAATTGTTGGTCTTGTTATGTGGTTTCCATAACAACGATTAACAACATCGTTGTTGTGGTGAAATTGGTGTACGGGGTATTGAAACATGAATATTATCGAACTTGCATGAACCACGGAGTTGGGCAATATGATTAGAAACTAGATGCAGAATGTTTGCGAAGCAAAATCTATATTTTGAACCACTCTAAAATTTATGTTTCATTAATTTAGAGATAAATCAAGTTAGTCGAATTATTCCTAATTATTTGACGGTAGGCTGTCTGGATAATTTTAATAAAATAAAATAAGCATTTTTTAAAAACTATATCAAAACTTTGAAACTTATATGTTGCGTGGATCGTTATAGTGTAACGGAGCATGTCGTCGAGAAGAAATTTTCAAATTGTCGCTGAACAATATCGACGATATGGAAGACAGCGTGAAAATAACCATCACTAACACAAAAACCAAGATTCTACGGCAGTTTGTCATCAACAAAGGCAATGCACCTGACGTCGACATGCTGGAGCTTTTACGCTCGTATGCCCAGAAGCGTTCAGCTGACATTAAACACTCGCATTTTTTGTTCGTTATAATCTTGGAAAGTGTACAAAACATTGTTTTTGTCGTTCATCAGCGTTTTTACTTGTAGATTCAGGAGTTGACATCTCTGAGCTCAGTAGCTGAAGGCTATGTCGAAAATTCCTTACAGCAGATAAACTGATTGCGGAAAAAATGTTGGGCGATTCGGGTGAAAATTCGGGAAGCACAACAGAAGCAGAAAATGTTCATCCCAAAATCACTGTTCCCCATGCTTCAGAATTTGGTGTGCCGCCACCAATGACAACTACGCCCAGGCAATCAAATCCGAATCAAGTACAATTCAATATTTTAACTAACTGCACAATTAATTTCTATCAGAATAAATAATGTATGATATATTCGACAAAAAAGTTTTGATTTTAATTAAAAGAAGAAGAAGAAAACACGATTATTCTTTGCCCTCTCGATTTAGAAGCTGCTTTGGCCTTTTATCAAAATCCAAATCACAGTACGAAAGCTCGTGAAATTCAACGAACACAGAAAAGTGGCGAAAAGTACTACTTTTTGGCATTTTTGTTATAGTAGGCCATTATGTCATGTTAAAAAATAGATATTATAATGCGTAGTTGCAAACAACTTTTTTATGTATTTCAATCATGTAATGTGATAAATTTTCCGCTACTGTATAGTATGTAACTTCCGGGGTTGGTAACATTAAATCTTTAATGTAAAAACTCAGAAATTCAGAAATTTTGTCCAGTATACAACGATCTCTAAACCACCATGCAAAGGTGGAAGCATAACTCGAGGGCTCCTGGCTACTGCGATGCACACCGGTTGCGGCACTCTGCTTCTCTCAGCCGGCAAGCCTTCTGCCTTCCGCTAGGCATACGGTATGGAATGGGCGTCGGGTATGGGCTCTGCCGTAGGAAACGACGGTGAAAAATGTGTTTTCCTCCCGTCTCTTTCGCACCAACCGGACCCCTAGGCAAGGCAACCGGCATGCATGTTGTCCTCCTGTTGATGTATGTGTAAGCCGGGCGCAGGGGTTTTGGTCGGTTCAACCTGCGTTGGGTGGGACTGTTATGCGCAGATCGGTTTCAGAACAACGCCGTGCAGATCGTCGCTGAACATCGTAGGTACATCGACGTCGGTTTTATTTTTTACGTTCCGTTGTGAGTTTCATTGGATGTCGTGTGTGTTGTTTTATTTTTGCGGTGCTCTTCTTCACGACCGGTAATCGATATATATCCGACGGGCAAGAACCGGCTTTTTGGGCAAATTTCGCGATCGTTATCTTTCCCTCGTCCGATCCAACGATTCGGATGCTGCGCTGATCCTGGGACCCGTTCGTCGCGATGCAGTTTTGCAAGGTCCACTCGAGCGATCGGCAGCAGTGACACACCAGGCGACCAAGGTGAAAACGGATAGAATCGAATTCATTTGAATAATTTGGCTTGGGTGACAGGAAGTGATATTTATTACCTGACGGTGAAGATGGTGCAGGTTTCCTTATATGGATCGTGAGAATTATTTGTGTGAATCAAAACGAAGGAATACGTTAGAAGCAAAAAAATTGGCGCTCCATACGATGTGTTCCTAAAAATTAAAATTGTTTTGTATCAGAGAATAGGTTAATTCATCAAGAAAATAATTGAATTAGCCTGAGTGAATGAGTGAGCTAATGCTATAATCAAGGAAAATAGAGCTTGATTATAATTATTTTGAAAAAGTATTGTGAGAAATACCGGAGAAGCAGAAGCCGATAGTGGTACGCCCTAGGCGTTGTGTTGTTTGGAAGTGCTGAACGGTGCGAGAAATCCAAAGTGCTCGTGGGTTGTACTGAGGGAGGGTGATTTTCCAATCCATCTAATCAAAATATAATAAAGCAACGGCGAGGGAAAACATAGATATGGGCAAATTAAGCAATTACCGCTTCGCTGTTATGATGCTGCTCGTCCACATTGGCGCAGTTTTCGGTAAACTCGAGCCGATCCGCCACAAGTGGTCGAGGTCGGAGATAATGGATGGCAACGGATTGTACCTGTTGGAGTGGAAGGTTGACCAGAAGGATATCGTGTTAACGGTGACGGTCAACACACGTGGATTCATCGGTCTAGGATTCTCATACAAGAGTGAACGGATGAGCGGTTCGGATTTGGTACTAGCTTGGGTAGACGACCGCACTGGCAAACCAAACATACTGGTAAGTGATCTACGTATGATTCAACAAAGATCCAAACGCTGCGATCCTAAATAATTATGTTCAAAAATAAAGTTCTGAATTCTAAACATTGACAATTCCCAGGACACTAACAATTCGTTGGTGTTAAGTAATGGTAAAATATATTATATATGGTATCATTATTAGCTACTTGATTTACGCTGACTTTAGACGAATATTACCACTTCCATTTTGCAGATGCGCTAGATGTGAGTGGGATAGATAGAACATGTCCTACGCACAAAAATCCCGGGTGGGACAATCAAAGCAATGTGCCACCCATAATTTTATAACGAACCGATACACAAATTAACGAACTATTTGAAGATTGGGAGCAATATCAAACATTTATGGAATATAGCTTTGATCAAAACATTCCTTTGCAACCCAAAGATGAAATCCTCTCTTTATTGGTTTTGGTATGTCTTGTCCCACCGTCTCGATAAGTCTCAAAGTCGCCCACTGGTCACCATAGCTGGTCGAACTTCAGCCGAAGCTAGAACCGCACTAACGTTCATGAGACAACGAACCCTACCCCTAGCTCCTCCCCTGATCCTATCCTTCAACAATGTACCCCTCTAGCCTAGAGTAAGCCGCGAGTATTCGGCCCAACTCCTACTAGACATAGATATAAGTGAATATTGTTAAAAAAAAAACAATGAACAATGAATTATTGGCTCCGTAAAGCTAAAGCAATTGAGCCTTCCAACTAAACCAACTAGATAAAAATAAGATGAAATTAATAATGCTCTTGAATCTTTGACTAATTCCTTAAATGAAGCAAGAGCTGCATCAATACAAAAATACGAGATTAAAGTCGATTCAATTATAATAGACGATAATCTTCACCTCTTGATCCGTCTGAAAAATGTCCGTATGAGGCAATATCAACCAACACGTGATCCTGCCATAAATGTTATCTGGTGGGATTTGCAATAACGATTCCCTGAGGAACAAAAATTTTGAAAATAATATTTGGAAGTTAGACCATTTTTGAATCGGAAAAACAGTTTCCGCACATTCAAGGTACGCGAGCAAATCGGCGATCATCTCTTTTGCCAGTGGTGGCGGGGGGGATACCCCAAAAGGGGAGTTTGGAAATGGAGATGATCAACCCGATTCGTACCTTGCTCAAAATTGACCTTTGCTCGCTTTCTACTCTCTATATACAATTGTCACACTGCCTTTCATCTCCTCATCTGTCGTATTAAATTACCACTTTAAGTGTGATATTTGACTTTAAGCATCTCCAACTAGGTTTTTATATGTTAACACTCCACGAACACGATGCCTCCGGTAAAATGTTTAACGGCAAATTGACAAGGTTTGAAAAAACATTGCTCAGCAAATTATCAATAGATTTTTAAATTATTAATATAAAATTCATGTTAAAAGTATGTAGTTTCAAATGGCGTCAAAAGATTAGAAATTCGTCACTAAATGGCTGAACTATGATTTTTCAAACATTGCAAGAACTGCTCATGTTTTCAGGGGAACAAAGAGAATTGCTTCCAAAGCTCAGGGGATAACTATAAGCATATTTATCTATTCAGAGAAAACTTTAAATCACAGTCCAGCACTCTCAATACTTCACAAAGTCCTCAAAACTATTTCCAAGTCAAAATTATCTGAAAAAATAAACTATTCAAAATGATTATTTTGTATATTATCAATTGCAGAGCCTAAAACCTCGATATTATCATAAATTCTCCATAAGGCAATAATCCATCGTTCTGACCGAAAAAAGCAACATAACACGTTCCACAAAGGTATATTCGTGTAAAACGAAAATAATCATTTCGCATTTGATACTCAAAATCATCCCCACCAAGATGATTATGAATATTGATGTGACAACAGAACAGGCAATAATCAATACGCATCTTTTAATGACAGTGTTCACTCGGCTGTCGACAAAAGCAGGCCACTCTCGATGTGTGCTACGCGATCGTCTGTTTTCTCGGCAGCAACCATTGTGTGGTCCTCCTCATTGTTCTTCATCAGCAGTTCTTTCGGTCGATGCGTCGTCGACTTTGGAAAACAACCGTTTCGTGATGAGTGTATGAGTGCTGACCACGTTTTGCGTCCATTGCTGCAATGGACGCGCTCTGACCCTCGTTGGCGTACAACAATTTGCCATACAATGAAACTACTGGAAGCGGCTCCAATTCTGATGGAGGAGGCTTTTTGGATAGCGGAAGATAAAGTGTTTATTGTGTTCTCCTTTTGACTATAGTTTTAAAATGTATTGTATAGTGACCAAGAATCCTCGGCTCTGTAAAGTTAATTCGGTTGAGCCTTATCAAATAAATTAATAAAAAAAAAAAAAATCTTTTAATGAACAAAAACAATGTTGACTTCGAAACTCAGCGGTTGCCTTGATCAAGAGCATGTTATCATGTCAAAATTAAAATTCATGCAGGTAGTTGGTTTATCTTTCACGGTTGCCTTCCTTTTCAGCTTATTTGAGTGTAGAAGATATGATTTTTATCAGCACTGGTGTAAATTCAATATTCGGCCAAACGTCTATTCAACCAAATGTATTTTTGCTAAGCGTCCTGGCTAAGAAAATAAATAAATGAACGTGGACGCTACTGTAGGATCTTCATTCGATCAAACATGGCCTTAAGGTGAAAGAGAGTAAATAAAAATTTCAAAAATTAATGTCTCTGAGATATCACTTCAAATTGCAAAAAGCACTCGTCAATTTTTTTTTCCTTTTATTATTTAGCACAACACGACGAGATTTTTTTGCAATGTGAAGTGATGTCTCAGAGAAATTAATTTTTGAAATTTTTATTTACTCACTACACACCAAATTTTAGCTTTCCTTATCAGGAAAACGGTTTGCTGGATCAGCAACAAAAAAGCTTTACTGAAAAACAGCAAACGATATTTTTACCGAAAAATTCAGCTAACATAAACGGTTTGCTGGACACCCAGTAAAGAGGATTACGAGACGAACCAGCCCAAGGCTGAAAGTCTCGTTAATAAAGAAAACTAAACTAAACTAAACCCAGTAAAGAGCTGTCAATCTCTTAGCGTCACAGTCGCAAGTATTTGCATTCGCACGATTCGTTGGTTGGTAGTTGGTAAGAGCACTGGTTATATTAAATTTTAATAAATTATTCATGGAAACGACCCTAGCGATTTTGCCTTAATTATTTGTGTATTTGTATCAAACTTTTTTAACAGAAGCTGACATCCCCAAGTGAAAATAAATTCGATTGACTGAGTTTATTCAGCAAAATGCTGTGAACTGTCATAATTTTTTATTGCTGAAAAATCAGTGAAGAAATATTGCTGAAATTTTTGCTGATTATCAGTAAATTACTGATGTTGTCATTTTGACAGAAGTTGGAATTGCTGGAAAATTCAGCAGCATTATTTTGCGGGAAAGTTTGCTGATCTTGCATCAAGTCTAAAATCAGCAAAATTCTGTTGATTTTCAGCGATTTAAATTTGGTGTGTAATAATTCACTTTTATTAGTGTTCGGATTTCGATGCCATCGGAAAAGTTATTTAAAAAACATGTTTGTAAGATAGTGGATAATGCGGATCGAATTAGCGGTGCCGGTGGTGTAGTGGTAAGCGTGATAACCTCTCACCCCAGCAGGCCTGAGTTCAATCCCAGTCGGCACCGCCGGGATGTTCTGAGGCATAACATCTCTGATCACGTTTCTTTCGGAAGGGAAGTAAAGCCGTTGGTCCCCCGGTTCATGAGTTGATGAGTCGATAGGTAGGGTCCAGGTGTTTTTTTTTAATACAGGGGGGAATCTGCTCCCAGACACCTAAGAAGATAGCTCAGGGTGTGGGGATGGGAGAGGTAGCTCTCCCGACCCACTAAACCTTACCCTGCGCTCTAGGCGCTTGCCCTCCCCGGAACCGCCCGAAAGCATTACATCATGGGAGGGGGCCGGTTGCGCTATGGCGCATCACTAGTGGTGTGTCAGACGTGACACTCGCTACTGCACAGTGAGCAGCTGTGCAGGGCCTTCCTCTTGTTGTTCGCTGTTAATTGTTCACCTGAGTTCTAGAGCAGACGTGATAGCCAGCCAACTGTCCAGGGCCAAACAGGACAGATGTGACCGCTTACCAGCTGCATGTGCTAAGCACTCTAAGAACCAGGTGTCACTCCTGCCTTTGCACAACGAGGGTTTGTGCAGGGCTTATCGACCTCCTGGGACGAGCTGGATGGGGCTCCAGCGTCCTTACTCTGCTGTAGTTCATTTAGCCGCAATATCTCTCCCTTGGGTTCGATAATTAACGTTTCCAGGGCACACCATGCGGAGGCGCACTACTTCATGCCCCTAGGGTCCAGGTGTGGGAGCTGCCTTCCTGGCGTCGGTAGCATTGGTGCTCAGCACGGAAAACAATATCGACGGAAAACAAATCAAGGGAAAAAAATGCGGATCGAATTGGGTTCAAAAGTTTTGAAAAACATCGAATTTTGGGCAAAATCTGTAAAAGATAATTTTATTGAGCACACAGATTTTGTTTACCTATACATTTGATTATTTCGTTTATTGACACATAGCTAACATACGGACAGCTCATAACATACTAAAGTACGACCAAGGAGCGCTTAGATGGTGATTTTACCAAGGTAATAACACTTGTTTAAAAAAGCTTCTTTACGGGAAAATTGATGACATTTTGAATTTCGGCTCTATTTTTGATGAAGATTACGAATATGCCATTATCCCAATACACATAACGTTCGCTAATTGAAAGAGACCTTTTGATTTTTGTTAAAATCGCATCTTTTGTCAGCCCTTCTTTTATAACTGGAAAAAGTAAGTTACTGGCTGATTATTTTTTGACATTGGATTAGGTTGGACTAATTTTCCATTCGTTTAAATTCCCGCATGCGACAATTTGATTAAATTTGATGTTTCATTCGTATGTTCATGGTACCAAAAAGATAAATTGCCAATCCTAGACGCTGTGTCCTGAAACGTGATCACGGCATCTATTCTTCT